AAGAACATCTTTATTTCTGCCATCATTTCATTGTTTATCCAGTCAACATTCAAGAGCAAGTTGTTCAGTTTCCATGAAGCTGTGCGATTCTGGGTTATTTTTTGAATTCTGAGTTCTCACTTGATTGCACTGTGGTCTGAGAGACTGTTTGGTACGATTTCCATTCTTTTGCATTTGCTGAGGAGTGATTTACTTCCAATTATGTGTTCAATTTTAGAGTAGGTGTGATGTGGTGCTGAGAAGAATGTATATTCTGTGGATTTGGGGTGGAGAGTTCTGTAAATGTCTATTAGGTTTGCTTGTTCCAGGTCTGAGTTCATGTCCTGGATATCCTTGTTAATTTCCTGTCTCATTGATCTGTCTAATATTGACAATGGGGTGTTAACGTCTCTCATTATTGTGTGGGAGTCTAAGTCTCTTTGTAACTTACTAAGAACTTGCCTTATGTATCTGGGTGCTCCTGTATTGGGTGCATATATATTTAAGATCGTTAGCTCTCCTTGTTGCATTGATCCTTTTGCTATTATGTAATGTCCTTCTTTGTCTCTTTTGATCTTTGTTGCTTTAAAGTCTATTTCATCAGAGTCAAGAATTACAACTCCTGTTTTTTTTGCTCTCCATTTGCTTGGTAAATCTTCCTCCATCCCTTTATTTTGAGCCTTTGTGTATCTTGCATGTTTGATGGATTTCCTGGATACAGCACACCAGTGAGTTTTGACTTTTTATCCAGTTTGCCAGTCTGTGTCTTTTGATTGGGGCATTTAGTCCATTTACATTTAGGGTTAATATTGTTATGTATGAATTTGATACTGCCATTTTGATGCTAGCTGGCTGTTATTCCCGTTAGTTGATGCAGTTTCTTCATTGTGTCGATGCTCTTTACCATTTGGTATGTTTTTGGAGTGGCTGATACTCGTTGTTTCTTTCTATGTGTAGTGCCTCTTTCAGGAACTCTTGTAAAACAGGCCTGGTGGTAATGAAATCTCTGAGTACTTTCTTGTTCACAAAGGATTTTATTTTTCCTTCACTTATGAAGCTTAGTTTGGCTGCATGTGAAATTCTGGGTTGAAAGTTCTTTTCTTTGAGGATGTTGAATATTGGCCCCCGCTCTCTTCTGGCTTGTAGGGTTTCTGCTGAGAGATCTGCTGTGAGTCTGATGGGCTTCCCTTTGTGGGTAAACCGACCTTTCTCTCTGGCTGCCATTAGCATTTTCTCCTTCATTTCAACCCTGGTGAATCTGACAATTATGTGCCTTTGGGTTGCTCTTCTTGAGGAATATCTTTGTGGTGTTCTCTGTATTTCCTGGACCTGAATATTGGCCTGCCGTGCTAGGTTGGGGAAGTTTTCCTGGATAATATCCTGAAGAGTATTTTCCAGCTTGGATTCATATCTCCGTCACATTCAGGTACACCTATCAAACGTAAATTAGGTCTTTCACATAGCCCCATATTTCTTGGAGACTTTGTTCATTCCTTTTTACCCTTTTTTCTCTAATCTTGCCTTCCCGTTTTATTTCATTGAGTTGATCTTCGACCTCTGATATCCTTTCTTTTGCTTGGTCAATTCGACTGTTGAAACTTGTGTATGCTTCACGAAGTTCTCATGTTGTGTTTTTCAGCTCCATCAATTCACTTATATACCTAAGTTGTTTATTCTCGTTAGCATTTCATCAAATCTTTTTTCATGGTTCTTAGTTTCTTTGCATTGGGTTAGAACATGTTCTTTTAGCTCACAGAAGTTTCTTATTATCCACCTTCTGAAGCCTGATTCTGTCAATTCATCACACTCATTCTCCATGCAGCCTTGTTTTCTTCCTGGTGAGGAGTTTTGAGCCCTTGGAGGAGGAGAAGCGTTCTGGTTTCCGGTGTTTTCATCCTTTTTGTGCTGGTTTCTTCCCATCTTTGTGGGTTTATCCACCTGTCGTCTTTGTAGTTGCTGACTTTCAGATTGGGTCTCTGAGTGAACTTCCAGTTTGTGGATGATGAAGTTATTTCTGTTTCTTAGTTTTCCTTCTAACATTCAGGCCCCTCTGCTGGAGGACTGCTGAGGTCCACTCCAGGCCCTGCTTGCCTGGGGATCACCTGCAGCAGCTGCTGAACAGTAAGGGTTGCTACCAGTTTCTTCTTCTGCTATTTCTGTCCCAGAAGGATACCCACCAGATATCAGTCTGAGCTCTCCTTTATGAGGTGACTTTTTGGATATGTGGGGTCAGGGAGCTGCTTGAGGAGACAGTCTGTCCTTTATAGGAGCTCAAATGCTGAGCTGCGAGCTCCGTTTTTCATTCAGAGCTGCTTGGCAAGTGTGTTTAAGTCTGCTGCAGTGCAACTCATAAAGCGCCCCCCCTTTTTTCCCCTGGTGCTCTGTCCTGGGGAGTTAGGGCTTCAATTATGAGTTTCTGTTGTGCTGCTGCCTTTTTCAGGGCTGCCCTGCCCAGCGAGGAGGCAGCCTAGTCACTGTCTGCCTGCAGAGGCTTTGCTGAGCTGCTGTGGGCTCCGCCCAGCTGCCGTGTGAACTTCCCTGCAGTCCCATTTATATGGGTGTAGTTAGAACTGCCTTGGCTATGTCAGCCCACCTCTATAATAGTGGACTCTCTCTCTAATGGCGGGCCGCTTCGGCAATGGCAAACCACCTCCATAGTGGTGGACTGCCTCAGTAATCACGGACACCCCTCCCCCACAAAGATGGATCCTCCCGGGTTTTGCTTGCTGTGAAACTCTGAATCCAGAGCATTTCCAATTGCTGTTTTTTTGTGGGGGTGGGATCAGTTGAGCCTGATCACCTGGCTCCCTGCCTCAGAACCCTTTTTTTTTTTTTTTTTTTTAACGGTGGACTCTGTTTCACAGGTGTTCCAGGCACCTGTTGAAAACGTGCCGGGATCTGAAACAGCGGCACTGAGATTCATGGCGCTTTTTTTCCCGGGAATCTCCTGGCCTGGCTTCCTGTTTCAGTCCCCTTTTAAATCAGGTGAATGTGCGACTCTGTGTCCCAGAAGCTCCAATTGCCAGGTAAAATGGCGCCCCGACCCATGTATTTTGTATGCAGAACTGCTGCGCCAGGGCACTGGCAAAACAGCCATGCCAGTGAAAACAGCCCCGCCGGCTAAACCGGCTGTGCAGGTGACCCGTGTGGCTCCTCTGCATGGGAACCTCGTGGTCTGTGGGCAATAAAAATCTATCTGGAAATGTGGCATCCACTCATCCTCTGTGCTTTCACTTGGAGCTGCAATCCTGAGCTGCTCCTAATCAGCCATCTTGGATCCCTCCCCACAGGTCTTTTCTTAAATTTCACATTAGCTTATCAGTTTCAGGCATTCATCTGTTTTATATAAGTATTTTAGGTTAAACATTTCCTTCAAAATACTTTTTGTACATTTCATTAGTTTTGATATGTAGTGTTTGTCATTCTTAATTTCTAATATTAAAAAAATCCATTATGATTTTTGAATCTGTATTTAATACTGTTTTTTAAAATTTACAAATATGCAGGAATTTTAACTCATTTTCTCATTGACCTCTAACTCAATTGCCTTGTGATCAGAGATCATAGTCTGTGTGATACTTATTCTTTGAAATTTCATGAGGCTTTCTTTGTGGACCAGTATATGATTATACATGTAAAATAATAAAAGTACACCTTCAAATAATACTGTGCCACTTCATGGGTAGAGCAGGCACCTTATAGCAGATTACTCCCAACTCCTTCCCATCCCTGTGATATTCCTGTCATTCATTTCACTGGTTCAAGTGCTATAATCAGCCATACATTTTTGCTCTTATTGCTTTAACTAACAGTTATATTTTAGACCAATTAAAAATAAGAAAAACAAAATATTTTACTTCTATTTATTCATTCTTTTCTGCTCTTCCTATACTAATATAGATCTAAGTTTTTGATCTATATAATTTTTCTTCTGCTTGAAGAACTTGTTTTATCATTTCATGCAGGGAAGGTCTACTGGCCATGAATTCCTTCAGTTTTTGTTTGTCCCCTTTATTTAGGGGGTGGGGGAATATAATTTGCATACAATAAAATCACCCCTTAAAAGTATATAATTCAGTAGTTTTTGGCATATTCACAAGTCTATACAACCATCACCACTATCTAATTCCAGAACATTTTTTTTTAATTCCAGAACATTTTCATCATCCCCAAAATAAACACAATGCCTAATAGTGATCACTCCCAATTCCTCCTTCCCCTCAGCCCCTGGCAACCACTATTCTACCTTCTTTTTATGGATTTGCCTATTCTGGACATTTCATGTATATGGAATCATGCAGTATATGGCCTATAGTGTTTTTAAGATTCATCCAGGTTTTAACACATCTCTGTACTTCATTCTTTTTTATGATTCCGAAACATTCAATTGTGTGGATATACACATTTTATTTATCTATTCATGATTTGATGAATACACCAAGAATATAACCATGTTTAGTCAGTGGTCAACATATTTTTTTTTTTTTTTTTTTTGAGATGGAGTTTTGCTCTTGTGCCCAGGCTGGAGTGCAATGGTTGATCTCTGCTCACCGCAACCTCTGCCCCCTGGGTACAAGCAATTCTCCTGCCTCAGCCTCCTGAGTAGCTGATTACAGGCATGTGCCACCATGCCTGGCTAATTTTGTATTTTTAGTAGAGACAAGGTTTCTCCATGTTGATCAGGCTGGTTGGTTAACACATTTTTAGGAAATATCATAGCACCTGTTGGGAGATATACGCATTTCTGTTAGTATGTCTCAAACTGACTCAATATCACCATAGAGAATATTAATATTCTGATTGATATTCATATCTATGACCTAGATCTGGTAATAAAGGAAAATATAGAGTATAATGTACATTATTCAGGTGATGGATTTGGTAAAAAGCCTAGATTTCACCACTATGCAATACATTCATGTAAAAAACTGCACTTTACCCCTTAAATTTATACAAATTTTTGTAAAAAAAAAAAAAAAAAAAAAAAAGGTAAGAGATGACATTAATTGGCATTATTTCAGGCACTGTTGGATAAGAAGAATAAAATTCTTGAAGCAAAGAAACCCCCTCGTTTCCTTCAAAGAAACCCAGTACCTCAACCTCGGCTTCCAACTCCAACCTTGGAAATGACTTCCAACGTAAGTTTGAAACTTTTTAGTTGAAATGCTAAATTCAATATCATTGTCAGTTTATTCTTAGGATAGTTTAGCTTAAAGTAAGTCTAATTTTGCAGTGTTAGTTCCCCAAACTCTGACTTAAATGTTGTCTTTATTCTTATGTATCAAACATCAAACACATACAAAAACAAATGAAATGAAATGAAATAAACCCAGTCCTTTTCGAAAATAAAAACACAATTTAAAAATCTTTCTATGATAAATCAGCGTCAGAAGGTAATGCTCATGTGTATGAAATAGAAAGAGAAGATTGAATGATGCTCAGTTACCACAACTATTTTCCCACATGGAGAGATGGCCAATGACTATTGGAGTTGAAGAGGAACAAAATGCCAGAGATGGCATCAAGACAGGCTTGCTTCTGGGGTGGGAATGGCTCAAAGGGCCCTGATTAGGGCCACATCTCACCAGACTCAATTTGAGCAAGGTAGCAGAGTTGCTTAGGATTTAGAGGACTGACTCAGACAAAACAAACCCACAGGAACCTGTTAGAGATGCCATGATGCAAATGTATTACTTTACAGAGAGAACTGTAACTGCCTGCTAGATCAGGCTGTTCCTCTTGGCTGGTCAGCACATTATCTGCCAGTATAGGACAGTCCTCACAAGAAGCCAAACTATATTCAGAAGGCTGATGTGTTTCTTGGCTGAGGGCAGGTGTTGGTGGGAGACCACACTAACACCTGTTACTACCTCTGATGAGTAGCTCTTGCAGAGGGACCAGAAAGCTCCCACCAGCAGGCTGGGATGTGCACTGCTGGATAGCATTCTCTTTTCTAGACTTTGTGTGGGCCTTTGGTTGACACATTATCTTTTTTTTTTTTTTTTTTTTTTTTTTGAGACAGAGTCTCGCTCTGTCATCCAGGCTGGAGTGCAGTGGCATAATCTTGGCTCATGGCAACCTCCGCCTCCTGGGTTCAAGTGATTCTCCTGCCTCAGCTTCTTGGGTAGCTGGGAGTACAGACGTGTGTTACCACACCCAGCTAATTTTTGTAGTTTTAACAGAGACTGAGTTTTGCCATGTTGGGCAGGCCGGTCTCAAACTCCTGACCTCAGGGATCCTCCTGCCTTGGCCTCCCAAAGTGCTAGGATTACAGGCATGAGCCACTGTGCCCAGCCTGACACATTGTCTTTCATGTGTGTTAATACCATCGATTAGACTACTGTTTTCTTTTTACATTCAAAGACACCTTAATTAGATTCCCAGATCCTGCTTTTTCTGCTTTGGACACATAGTTTTTAAGATGATTTTTGTAGATAGCTAATCTTGTTTCTTATATTCTGATTTTATCAGCATAGCTAAATTCTCATGAGAATTACCTTACTCTGGCATAGGCTAGGTGTATTTTTGTCTATTGATGATAAAACATGAAAATCTTATTGCAAAATGATGTTATAAGCAATACTTGTTGCTTCAAAAAAGATTTTTGTGGAAAGGAATATAGGTAAATGAAAGTGGCTTCATTCATAGGGATAGCATGGCAGGGAGTGAATTTTTTGCTTGTAATATGATTTGTTAATAAAAAATAATTTTATGGTAAGTAACATTAAAATACTGTATGTTCAATAAGGGCAGGGACCATGTTTTATTTCTCTTTAAATCCTTCTGGCATCTAGCACAGTCTCTTTTGCTTGAAATAAGTCTTCGAAAGAATATTTGATGCTTGGACTACTGCAGTTCTGAAGCTGCATGGTTCTCCCTTTGTTCTTTTAGGAAGAAGAAGAAATAGAAATGGCTGTGATCTACCTTCAAAAGTTACTCCGGGGCAGAGTCGTTCAAAACATGGTGTGTAGGTCCAACTGCTGGCCCTGTGTTTCTCTTTTGAGAATAATTTTTTTAGAATGCCTATCTGCTTGGTTCCTTGGAGTGAATTCCCTTTTGCACCCTGCTATTCTATTCAGCTAAACTCTTGAATTGCCTACCCATCCTTCTGGTGACCCATTTTCTTGTAGTGGCATTGTTTATCTGGGTGGGTGGCACAGTATCAAGGAGAGAGACAGAAGGACCTACGGGCTATTTGCCATGGTTGTAATTAAGGCAGTATGAAACTCACTTTTCTTGGAATTGTTAAATCCATACATTTTCTTACCTGAATTTTGGCTATGTAAGCATTACAAACCAGGTAGATTCACTAATTTTCCACAGTCATAATACAAATAATCTGGCTAACTGTTTACAGTTGGGAAGTTAGTTTTTTTTCCCCCAGACAGCTGTAACTTGTAAGAGATTCAGATATGATGAGTAAGTCAGCTGGATGAACAACTTGTGTTTAGCACTGTTCTTTACCCTTCTTTCAGTATTTCCCCAAGAGAAGCACCATGGTTAAAGTCGGACAACAGATTGAGTATTACAAACCAGGAGCAGATTTATTGGAAAAGAAAAAGAAAATATGGCCACGAAAAATGCCATCTTGAGGTTTATTAGAGAAGGAGCACAGGAAATGAGGGGAAGGTTCTGGTTTCTTAATATGACCCTAGCGTTATCATCTTGTCTTTAAGAGCATTCTCAGAAACTGAGTACAGCTCACTGAAACCTAAGCCCATTCTCTGCCTGAGAAGCTGAAGGCATAGAAAAGAGGGCTGAACTCTAGCTCTGTGGGACACATCTGCTCTACAGAACCCAAAAGGCAGGGTGGAACCCACTGTTCACAAGTGTCTCACAAGTCATTGCATGTGACTCCTAGTGCTTGGCACAAAGGGATGGTAACTTGCCGGTCTCCGTTTGATTTGATTTGATTTGATACAGATGTTTGAAGGGAAAGAAAAACGACTGGAGTTGATCCAGGAGTTACGCACCTGCCACGCACTACAAGAAGATGAAAAGCTGGTGAAAAATGCTGAGAAGCAAGTGACCCTGAACTCACAGCAGAAGAGGAACTTGCATGAACACAAGGTTTTCCTTTTTTTCTTGTTACTTTCTTGTTAAATTTTCTCCCTTGATTTTTATCATTGCAAAGCAACATTATTATAAAAATTAATGAAATGTTGAAAAATAAACAGCCCCATAATCCCATCACTCTGTCAGCATTCTTTTTTTTTTTTTTTGAGCTGGAATTTCGCTCTATCTCCCAGGCTGAAGTGCTATGGCACAGTCTCAACGCACTGCAACCTCTGCCTCCTGGGTTCAAGTGATTCTCCTGCCTCAGTCTCCTGAGCTGGGACTACAGGCATGCGCCACCATAGCTGGCTAATTTTCATATTTTTAGTAGAGATGGGGGTTTCGCCATATTGGCCAGGCTGGTCTCAAACTCCTGACCTCAGGTGATCCACCCTCCTCAGCCTCCCAAAGTGCTGGGATTACAGGCCTGAGCCAGCATGCCCGGCCATTCCTCTGCTATTTCAAAGATGGTTGTTAATGATTTCAAAGTTATTAAAAGACTAAAAAGTACCAAGGTTTTCTACTTACATGTTGGTCAACATCTTAATTCCAAACTTGTGTGAAAGGAAAGATTCTGAAAAATTAAGGGGTATCATGAGTGAATTTCTAGGAGATTCCATTTGGAATTCCAATATTATCTTTAATAAAAACTTGACATTCCCCTTCATGTCTGGGAAGATGCCCTTTACCTTGTGGATTAGGAAAAAAAAACCATTCTCCATGGTCACTAACGGAAATGTCTTGCTAAATCCTCTGGCTCATTTGAGGGCTGTGTTTCATCAGTGACTGACTAAACAATTGACTCTCTGGTGCCTCAGTTTTCCTCATAAGAACCTGAGATAAAGCCAATCAAGAGGTAATATTCCCAATAAAAATTAAATGCATTCTGAAAGTGAATTGACTGCCAAGAGTTGAGTAATCTAGCACCTCTTCTAATAGTCACCACTGATAGTGGAATTTGTACCCTTAAAGTTATGTTATTATTTTCAAGGTGTCACTGGTTGAAAATCATTTGGCTGGACTGGAAGGAAGGGCACTGGCAGACATGTTTGACTTCCTGTCCAAAGAGCTGGTGAGACTGCAGGAGGAGAGGAGGATCCATGCTTTTGTCATGCTGGCCGAGCGCCAGCGGCGGGTACGAGAGGCGGAAGAGAGTGGTCGGCGCCAGGTGGAGAAACAGCGCCTGCAGAAGGAAGACCAGATATTTAAGGAGGCAAGTAGGGGCAGCTGGGTGTATGGAGGCTGCCTAGAAGGAGCCAAGCCAAACCAAAGGAAGCTCATGACATAAAATAGCATTTGGCTTTTGTTTGTACATTGGGTTCCTACAGTATGCCAGGCACTCTACAAAGACACTGTGGGAAACTTTAGGGGAAAACCCAGACACGATACCTTCTCTCCTAAAGCTTAAATAACATATAATACGCACATGTGCATAGACTAAGAAAATGTAATGAGTTCCATGAAGGAAACAAATAGGGCCCAGAGACATATTTTAAGCCAGTTACTCCACTTGCTGTGTGGATCACAGGCTGGAGGGAGGACAGAGGGGGACCAGGAGGCCAGGAAGGAGCTGTTGAAGTCATGAAGGCCAGAGTGAGAGACAGGAAATTGAGTATTACGTCCAGTGTTGGGCGTAAGCAACTGGTAGATGTTGGTATTATTTTCTGAGGTAGGTAAGTTGAGAGAGGAATAAGCTTAGGGGCAGGAAAGGAATCAGGAAATCAATTTATAATCAATTCGTATTTAGTTTGGGACATCTAAGCAGAGGTATTGTTTCGTATGTGGATCTAGAAGATGTAATTTAGAAGAGAGGTTTTGGCTGAAGATGTAAATTCAGAGGTTGGTGACCAGCTTCTAGCTTCCTACCAACTTAACATATTTTTCTTCAAAAAGAGTTACTGAGATTTAGAAATTATTGGCAAATCAGAACTTGCCATCCCCTCCCTAATATCACTAAGGAAGAACCAGCTGGGGATGGGAAGAATAACTAGGGGTGAGAATAAGAAGAAATGGAACAGAGGAGCTGCTACACACAAAAGCAGAGAAAGGAAGAAGCTGGTAAAAAGCTGCTTAGGAAGATACCTTCTAAATGGGAATGATCCCAGAAAACATCTGCTCTGTCCAGCAAGGGCAAGAAAGGGTTAAGATAGCCCTTTTATCCTGATTTAAGAATGACTTATGTAAAAAAATGTACCCAGCTTTGGATCCACAGATTCAAATATCATCCATCATTTTAATTCCCAACCTTCCTAATTAAAATATAATGGCTATTTTCCATCCTACTTTCCCAGCCTCCATTCAAACAGATTCTCTTGAAGAGAAATATGCTTGTACATAAATTAAAAGACAGAAATGTAATATTTAATAAATTTAGAAAAAATAGCATATAGATAGAAACACAGATACAGAGTCATAGACTCATCTTTAAATACATACACATTTTTGTGGGCACATACACGAGGACATATTTACAAATATAATTGGTGCACACAATATTAGCAAGACATAGAGAAACACACAAATGCACATTTCCTTACATGTACAAATGTGTCCAAAAATTTACACATTTATAAAGATATATGTAAACACAGGTACATATATCACTACAGATGGACCACAGTAAACTTTCCATCTCCATATAGATACAGCTTGCTTCCTGAATAAGAGGGTAGGCTGTATGAGAGCACGAATATTGTATATTCCCTTTGTGCCTTGCACAATGCAGCATAGATCCCTGTACATAATAGACATTCAGGAGATATATTTTGGTTGGTTAGTTATTTGGTTGACACTGTATTAAACTGGCCATTGAAACTCTGCCATAGAGAAGGCATAGGGATTCAAGGTTGATGTTTTACACACAGGTGTACGGTATCATATACTCAGAATTGTGCTGAAGTGCCAGTCAAGAAATAGGTACTGAATTGTTACTGTGTTCAAGGCATTATCTCAGATACAAAGATATATTCAGACATAAAACATAAACGTGCCCTAACTCTAAGAAGTTGATAATCTGTTGAGGAGACAGCATGCATATACAGGCAAAACTGTGCCACAGTTGATGCTTAATCTTTCTATGTATATATACCTGTAAAACAGGCAAAATGAAACTACTTGGCTTATGAGTTACAACTTAGGGAGTGAAATTATAGAGAAAAGAAAATGTTTACCATGAAATTGGGAAGGTGCTGTGGTAAAGGAGGAAACCATGGTGGCCTTCTGAGATACTGGCAATTACTATAATACATGGGTTCTGACTTTACCCTAATTCATTACACTGTATATTTATGTGCTCTATACTTCTTTTTTATTTTTCTAATCTCTGGGTTTGCTTCTGATGCACTTTAAAAATCTGGATTCTATTTCATGATTTCAAGTAAGCTTTTTTTTTAGCTACTTCCGTTAAAAAGAAGCAATCAAGGGCTGCTATGGTTGTTCAATAAATTCATTAGAGACCTAGGATCCTTCTAGCTTTCTACTCTTCTGTTCTTAGGTCGTAGCCAGGTCGTAGCCCTTTTGGCAATTTAAGATGATTGCTGGTATCCCAGCATTATGTTCTCATGAAATGAGTAACGCAGAGAGAAAAAAAGAAGCCAGGTCTTTCCCTTTAAGAATCCTTTCTTTGGTCAGAACGTGGTCATATAGCCAATCCAGTTCCTGTGAGTGCTAAGAAATGTAGTCTTCATTCTAAGCACCTGTTTGCCTAGCTAAAATCCAGAGGTTCTATTATTAAGGGGAAAGAGAGAAAGGACACTGGGGAATACCTCCTAGTCTGTGCTACAGTTAGGTAGTTTGGCCGTCATGTTGCTGGTAAGAACAAAACCAGGATTCAAACCAGCGTTATTGACTCTGAAGCTCATGATCCTTCAGCAGTGCTGTCTTGCCCTGCAAATAAGTTCCATAATTCTGAAATGGGCTAAATGGGTGTGGGCTACCCAGAATGAGTAGATAGGTGGATGAGAAACAGACTGATGATATGGTAAAGAAAATGAATAATTAGTGAAGGGTCTGTTTACTTAATAAATGAAATATATGTGCTTAAAGTTAACCAATGTTTATTTTTCTTGTGTTGTTTACAACAACATACCTGTTTTAGTGAATGTATTATTGTTTTTTGCAGGTAGTTAAAATTCACCATAGTACTATAACCTCCTACCTAGAAGACATAATACTGAATACCGAAGCGAATACTGCAGAAGAACAAGCCAGGGCAGAAATTGAGAAGATGGCTGAGAAAATCAATGACATTGCTTATGAAATGGAAAGCCGGTGTGTATCAAGAGAACAGATTGTAGAATGGAAAGTCCATTTGCTGGTACTCGTATATATTTTTTCAAGAGCTTACAATTTCACCATCAAGGAGAAACAAATAAATAACTCATACTTCAGGGTCCATTGTTTTATTAACATAACTCTTGAGAAGCCAACATGCATATACCTCCGTATGTATTCTCAGTTATCCTCTGCAACCTGGAGTACTCTACTCACTTTAAGAATACTTGGAAGCATGAAAACAGTATGACTATGTGTGTGCAACATTACTGGGACTTCATCCCAAGGTTTCTGGCTTCTATGTGTAAGCTATATTTCCAACATTCCCTTCCTGGCAGGCAGGGTAACTGAAGGACAGGGTCAAATCCAATTTTTTGTGGAGTTAAACAAACCTGCCAGGAATGTGATATTTCAGATCACTTAATCAAGGAAAAGGTGATGGTGGGATTTGAGTGGGGTTGCTTACACAGCAGGAAAACATAAATCAGCAGCTCAAGTAAAGAAACCAGAGAAATCATTCAATTTGTTTTTTATTTTTTAGCCGAACCTATCTTCAGTCAGAGGAGATTGTTGCAGAGTTGGTTTATAGTTTTCTGATCCCAGAAGTGCAAAAATACTTTGTCAAAGAAAAAGGTAAGCCAATATAAATGCTTTACTTTAGGATTTTTTTAAAGTTGTGAATTATTTTCAATATCCCAGAGACTTAAACAGAGGGATGGGGAAATCTCTGAAGGAGGATCGCTGAGTCTTCTTATTTCAGAGTTTGTCAGGCTCTCTTCATGCTGTCTGATTCTAGAATATAATCTAGTACAGATGGGATGTAGTTCTAATCAGAGTGACAGTAGTACAATCCAAACCTTCTTTAAAAGGATGTTGCCAAGTTTTCAGAAGAGGTGTATTTATTTTGTTTTATTTTTTAATATTTATTTACTTACTTATTTTTGAGATGGAGTCTTGCTCTTGTTGCCCAGGCTGGAGTGCAATGGCACGATCTCGGTTCACTGCAACCTCTGCCTCCCAGGTTGAAGCAATTCTCCTGCCTCAGCCTCCCAAGTAGCTGGGATTTTACAAGTGCCCACCACCACGCCCAGATAATTTTTGTATTTTTAGTAGAGAAAGGGTTTCAGCATGTTGCCAGGCTGGTCTTAAACTCCTGACCTCATGATCTGCCCGTCTCGGCCTCCCAAAGTGCTAAGATTACAGGCATGAGCCACTGTACCTGGCCATTTAAACTTTTTTTTTTAAAAAAAAGCATAAAACAGATAGCATATAAAAGATTTTCACATTGCCTTTCAGAGGCAGGACACGTGAACCATGAATATTAAAAAGCAGGGGTGCTAGAAAGGTCTAAATCTACCCTGTTGCTTTGCCTGTACCCCAAATAGCTTGTTTCTGTTGGAACTCCATCCAAGTACAAATATTCTAGTTTATCATTTGTCACAGGTGACATGTTTTTAAAGATTGATGCTTACAGTCAATAGAGAAAGAGAAAATAATGTCTTAAACAGAAAAAAAAGATTCTTCCATAGCTCTGAGACTCTTGATGATAGGCTTGATCCTAGTCAGAGGGGTGCAACCAGGAGAAGACCAATATTTAAGTGAAACAGTAGCTCAGATACATTCAAAATTATACAGGGGAATTCCAGACAGGTTTAAGCAGAAAAATGCTTAACATTTCAGTTGCTTAATCAGGGATAAAGAAATGTTGGAGCTCTAACTCATTTGCAGAGGACAAAGAAATACCAATTATTCCATTGCATGGTTGTAGTGTAATTTTTAAACCAGTACCCCTAAGGATAAGCATTTAGGTTGTTTCCAGTGTGTTTTCCTATTACTAACAGTGCTTCAGTCAATATATTTTACACATATCCTGGCCATGCTTCTGAGAGTAAATTCCTAACAATACAATTGCTGGGATATAGGGTATGTGTATTTTACATTTTGATAGATTGTACCAAATTTCCCTACAAAAAGATTGTTCTACCAATTTGACTTCTGTGTGGGCAAGTGGACTGAGTCCTTAGCCTCTCCCCTTTCTATTTTTGCCAAATCAAAAAAACCATATGAACAGGGAGCACACTAGGACCTTTTGTTTCTCTTGTCAAATAACAGAACCATATGTATTATATATACTCTTTACCCAAAATTAAGGTAATATTATATGTAGACCGTTTTGAGATATATCACTTTTTAAAAAGCCAGTGGACCAGAAAGACCTTACAGATACCTGTATATAGATATAACAGTAACTGCCAAATTTTAAATGCATACTAAGTTCCAGGAAGTTCACTAAGCATTTTTAAATGTACACTATCTCAGTTTCTTACAAAAACTATAGGTACATTCTCATTTTTCAATTAATGGAAATTAGCTCTTGGAGACATATGACTTGCAAATTTGAACCATGGTCTCTGTGACTCCAAAGCCCTAGATTTTTCAACCATATTACTGTGAAGTGCTAAAAAACTGCTGAGTTAATTACCCTAATTAAACTAGCTGATACCCAAACAGCAAAGAATCCACAGTACTTCTTATAGTCTTTTACTAGCTATTTGACTTCAGGTAAATTACCTAATGTCTCTGTATCCATGTTTCTTCTAAGAATGGGGATATTAATAATGCTATCTTTTAAGATAATTAAATTGATAATTACATGTCAGCTGCTTAAAACAGTACCTGGCACAAAGTAAGGAGAAATGCTAACTGCTAACAACATCATCATCATCATCATCATCATCATCACTAGTCCTTTCCAAGGGCTTAGGTGCTTAGTATTGTCTGTGCTAAATCCTGACAGTGAATATTCTTAGAATTTGGAGTTAGGACTACCTTCTAAACCCATGAACTCAGAAACTCATCATCAATCAGTAAGTCCCCCTTCACATTAAGAACTAAGGCTCAAAGAGAAGTATGAGACAAGTTACTTATTCATAAGTTATTTACACTCGGTAGCAAACAAAACGTAACTCACATGAAGTGCTTCAGTGCTGAATAGGTTGGTACAAACTCAAATGTGGTAAGTGGTAAATCTGGGCTGATATAATCAGAGGAGACTTCCTGGAGGATCTTGGAAAAGAGCTTTCCAGGTTTTGCAGTTCAGGCATTCCAAGTGAGGGAAACTGCTGAGGAGTGGAATGGAGGCAAGCATGGTGGGAAGGAGTATGACTGGGCTGAGCCAGAGAGTGGGTACAGAGGGAGCAGAAAGAAATTAGATTTGGGTTGGGTTTACCTTTAGTTTGCAAACTTCTTATTTCTACCATGACTCTCTTGAAACATTTGGGAATGTTTTCATCCAGACTTTCAGAGTGAAAATTTTTCTATTACTTTGGCACAGTGAGGAATGCACAGCGGAAACATATTCTTGCAGCCCATCAGCTCATCCACGGGTACATGGAAAGCATGGTTCAAGAGAGATTAACTGAGGGACAGCAAGGTGAGGTCTCAAATGCTGCCATGTTACTTGAGAAAGAAAATGAGAACAACAGTTAAGGTGAGTTTAATTTTCCACCTGGAAAAAAGCAGAGAACGGAAGAAAAGCAGCATGGTTCAGCTTTGTGCTGTGCTCTAACAATCATAATGTGAAAAGATTGTTGTTTAAGGAATGAAGGACTTCCATTGAAATTGGCACATTTCCTATAGGCTATGGCATCTACTGTTGAGATTATTAGAATATTGGAGGGCAGGCATGGTAGCTTATGGCTGTAATCCTAGCACTTTGAGAGGCTGAGGTGGGGTGGATCACCTGAGGTCAGGAATTCAAGACCAACCTGGCCAATATGGTGAAACCCCGACTCTACTGAAAATACAAAAATTAGCTGGGCATGGTGACAGGTGCCTGTAATCCCAGCTACTCAGGAAGCTGAGACAGGAGAATTGCTTGAACCCAGGAGGTGGAGGTTGCAGTGAGCCGAGATCATGCCACTGTACTCCAGCCTGGGTGGAAGAGCGAGACTCCATCTCAAAGGAAAAAAAAAGAAAGAAGAAAATTAGAGTTGCTATTACAGCAATTAGACTCTTGTGATCCAGAAAATATGAGTCTAAATTATTTTTATGGATTCTTTTAGCATGTGTGTACCCCATCAAATGAAGCTATAGAATGTGTCAGTGTTTATATATATATATATGTAAACTTGTTCTTCTGGAAGTAGACAAGGTATGCCCTAAAGCATTGTGCTAGTTGTAAGCATGGCATGAGACAGTTCTAGCTCAGACACCTTCTGCAGTGCCAGTGCCCACCACAATCAAGAATATTCAGGTACATGAGGAGACATGACAATCTGAACAAGCAGCAAAAACAACAGATGATAGAAACAGACATAAAAGTATCTAAAATATTGGAATTGTTAGACACAGACTTTATTTTTTACATAAGTTATTGGGGTACAGGTAGTATTTGGTTGCATGAGTAAGTTCTTTAGTGGTGATTTGTGAGATTTTGGTGCACCCTTCACTGGAACAGTACTGTACCATATTTGTAGTCTTTTATCCCTCACTCCCCTCCGATCTTCCCCCCAAGTCCCCACAGTCCATTGCATCATTCTTATGCCTTTGTGATTAGACACAGACTTTAAAATAACTATGTTTACTACTATGGACTTCTATCCTCCAGAACTATGAGAAAATACGTTTCTGTTTTTTAAATCATCCAGTCTATGGTGTTTTGTTATGACAGCCCCAGCTGAATAAGACAAATTTTGGTACCAGGAGTTGGGTACTACTGTAACAAATATCTAAACGTGTGGGAGTGGCCTTGCCACTAGTTATGGGTAGACGCTGGAAGAGTTTTGGGGTACCTAGTATATCTATGGACATTAAGGGTGATTCTGTTGACTTATCAGATGGAAATATGGAATATGTTATTAGAAACTGGAGGAAAGGTGACCCTTATTATAAAATGGCAAAGACTTTTACTGAATTGGGTTTTACGGCAGTAGAACTTGCAAGCAATGAAATTGGATATTTAGCTGAGGATATTTCTAATCAAACTGTTAAAGGAGCAACTTGGTTCCTCCTGACTGCTTATCATAAAATACAAATGGCAAGAGATGAACTGAACAAGAAATCGTTAAGCAAAAAGAAATCAGAATTTGAAGATTTGAAACATTCTTAGCCTATTTGTATTGGAAAAATGAGAAAGCTCTTTCTGATGGGAATGCTAAGGGTGGGTGAACAGATATTTGATAAGTGTATGGGATTATATAAGCAGAAACATTGCAGGATGAAATTAAGGAAGCCTATGGATTGGACTTCTTGAATTAGACAGGATGTAATGACAGAACTGTTCAGGTGCAAATATGCACTATTCTTCAAGAAGAAGAAAACATGATTTCACAGGAGATCCAGAGATCATCAGAGTCATTGTCCCAGTTTCAACAGGCCAGGTGGCTTTCGCCCTGAGCTTTGGAGGAACACCCAGTGGGCCCCAGTTCAGCAGAGCTATGGGGTGGGACCCTGAGTCAATAGAGCTACAGAGACAGGACACTTAATTAGAGCCATGGCAACGGGGCATTGTAGAGTCAAAGGGGTAGAGCCATCCTCCAGAGCCATGGGAATGATGCTGCCACCCCGGTGGGCTTATAAAGCAAGACAGTAATCCAAAAAAGACTATATTCAAGAATTAAGATCCAGTGGAATTTGCCTTGCCAGGTCATGGACTTGCTTAGGATCCATCACCCATTTTTTCCTTCTGATTCTCCTTTTTGGAATGGAAATATCTCTCCTGTGCCTCTCCCACCATAGTATTTTGGAAGCACATAGTGTAGCTGGTTTCACAGGCTCATAGCTGGAGAATAATTTTGACTCAGGACAAGTCAGATCTTGAGTCTCACCCATACTTCATTTAGATAACATTTATGATACTTTGAACTTTATTCTTTTATTTTTTTTCTTTTTTTTTTTTTAATTGCATTTTAGGTTTTGGGGTACATGTGAAGAGCATGTAAGAGTTCGTGAAGGCACTTCAGCAAATCACACTGCCACGTGTGTACCTATGCAGCATAGGTTGTTGCATAGGTACACACATGACAATATGATTTGCTGCCTTCCTCCCCATCACCTATATCTGGCATTTTTCCCCATGCTATCTCTCCCCAACTCCCCACCCCACGCTGTCCCTCCCCTATTTCCCCCTAACAGACCCCAGTGTGTAGTGCTCCCCTCCCTGTGTCCATGTGTTCTCATTGTTCAACACCCACCTGTGACTGAGAACATGCGGTGTTTGATTTTTCTCTTCTTGTGTCAGTTTGCTGAGAATGATGGTTTCCAGGTTCATCCATGTCCCTACAAAGCACACGAACTCATCATTTTTCATGGCTACATAGTATTCCACGGTGTATATGTGCCACATTTTCCCTGTCCAGTCTATCAGCAATGGGCATTTACGTTGGTTTCAGGTCTTTGCTATTGTAAACTGTGCTGCAATGAACATTCGTGTGCATGTGTCCCTGTAGTAGAATGATTTATATTCCTTTGGATATATACCCAGTCATGGGATTACTGGGTCAAATGGAATTTCTATTTCTCAGTCCTTGAGGAATCGCCACAGTCTTCCACAATTGTTGAACTAATTTACACTGTTTTTTTCCAGTTCTGTGAAGAAGGTCATTGGTAGCTTGATGGGGATAGCATTGAATCTGTAAATTACTATGGGCAATATGGCCACTTTCACAATATTGATTCTTCCTAACCATGAACATGGAATGTTTCTCCATCTGTTTGTGTCCTCTCTTATTTCGTTGAGCAGTGGCTTGTAGTTCTCCTTGAAGAGGTCTTTCACGTTCCTTGTTAGTTGTATTCCTAGGTATTTTATTCTCTGTAGCAACTGTGAATGGCAGTTAATTCTTTATTTGGCTCTCCTTAAGTCTGTTATTGGTGTATAGGAATGCATGTGATTTTTGCACATTGATTTTGTATCCTGACACTTTGCTGAACTTGCTTATCAGTTTCAGGAGGTTTGGGGCTGAGACGATGGGGTCTTCTAGATATACAATCATGTCGTCTGCAAATAGAGACAATTTGACTTCCTTCTTTCCTATTTGAATACCCTTTATTTCTTTTTCTTGCCTGATTGCTCTGGTTAGAACTTCCAGTACTACCTTGAATAGGAGAGGTGAGAGAGGGCATCCTTGTCTGGTGCCAGATTTCAAAGGGAATGCTTCCAGTTTTTGTCCATTCAGTATGATATTGGCTTTTGGTTTGTTGTAAATAGCTTTTATTATTTTGAGATACGTTCCGTCAATACCTAGTTTATTGAGAATTTTTAGCATAAAGTGCTGTTGAATTTTGTCAAAGGCCTTCTCTGCATTAATTGAGATAATCATGTGGTTTTTGTCTTTGGTTCTGTTTATGTGGTGAATTACATTTATACACTTGTGTATATTGGACTAGCCTTGCATCCCTGGGATGAAGCCTAGCTGATCATAGTGGATAAGCTTTTGATGTGCTGTTGCAATTCGTTTGCCAGTATGTTATTAAAGATTTTTGCATCTGTGTTCATCATGCATATTGGCCTGAAGTTTTCTTTTCTTGTTGAGTCTCTGCTGGGTTTTGGTATCAGGATGATGTTGGTCTCATAAAATGATTTGGGAAGGACTCCCTCTTTTTGGATTATTTGGAATAGTTTCAGAAGGTACCAGCTCCTCTTTGTATGTCTGGTAGAATTCGGCTGTGAACCCATCTGGACCTGGGTTTTTTTTGGGTGCTAGGCTCTTAATTGCTGCCTCAACTTCAGACCTTGTTATGGGTCTATTCAGGGTTTCGACATCTTCCTGGTTTAGGCTTGGGAGGAGGCAAGTGTCCAGGAATTTATCCATTTCCTCCAGGTTCACTAGTTTATGTGCATAGAGTTGTTTGTAATAATCTCTGATGATGGTTTGAATTTCTGTGGAATCTGTGGTGATATCCCCTTTATCATTTTTTATTGTATCTATTTGGTTATACTCTCTTTTCTTTTTTATTAATCTGGCTAGTGGTCTGTCTATTTTGTTGATCTTTTCGAAAAACCAGCTGCTGAATTTATTGATTTTTTGAAGGGTTTTTTGTGTCTCTATCTCCTTCAGTTCTGCTCTGGTATTAGTTATTTCCTGTCTTCTGCTAGGTTTTGAGTTTTTTTCATCTTGCTCCTCTAGCTCTTTCAATTTTGACAATAGGGTGTCAATTTTAGATCTCTCCTTGCTTCTCATGTGGGCACTTACTGCTATACATTTTCCTCTAGAGACTGCTTTAAATGTGTCCCAGAGATTCTGGTATGTTGTGTCTTTGTTCTCGTTGGTTTCAAAGAACTTCTTTATTTTTGCCTTCATTTCATTGTTTATCCAGTCAACATTCAAGAGCCACTTGTTCAGTTTCCACGAAGTTGTGCGATTCTAGGTAGTTTCTAAATTCTGAGTTCTAACTCTATTGCACTGTGGTCTGAGAGACAGTTTGTTATGATTTCTGTTCTTTTGCATTTGCTGAGGAGTGATTTACTTCCAATTATGTGGTCAATTTTAG